AATAACCCCGGCGATTTGATCTGCGGCGAATTCATCAGTAATAGTTGCCGTCACCGGCATCCTCCGCCTCCTCGAATTAATCTGCGGTGTTGATGTTCCATTTGAGATCCCAGATATATTATACCGCTGAAGTTGTCGCCACCGGCACCCTCCGCCTCCTCGAAGCCGTCCGTTCCCACATCTCCGCCACGGGTAGACTCTAAAAAAAAAGAGGCAAGGAGACCCCAAAAAAGAAAATAAAACAAAAAGAGGAGGCTTGCCACGAGATAAAGATAAGAGGAAAAAGAGGGTGGGCTGGGGGAGGAGAAGAGAAAAAATAAAAAAAAGGGGGTGGCGGCTGGGGGAGATAATAGGAGAGATAGGATTTTTTATTTTGATGTTTATAAAATTATGATATGGCCCTGATAGTTTAAATTAGGAAACACTATGACTTGGAAACTTTACATTATACTTAATTTACAACATAATTTTTTTAATTTCATGTATATAGTATTAATTTATTTAAGTTTTTATTTATTATGTAATAATGACGACACCGATTTTTTTAAGGCATGTTAAAGAGAAAAATGAAGATGGAATGTTCCATTTTTTTTTTCAACGAGTTGTTAAATATACTAACATAGCAGCTAAAATTGGGTTGTTAAATATAACTCTTTGTAAAACAGTTCATAGTTTTATATATATATATATATATATATATATATATATATTTAATAATAGCGTTAGGGAAAGAAATTTCAAAGGATTATAGTACATCCATGTAAGACAATCTCTTAGAATAAAGTGTTAAGAGCCGTCATGGAGTTCATTAGAAGAACTTTTGTAAGACGGTCTCGATTTTGATTTGGGTAAGTCTTAAGCACTGCCTTTGTAATTTTTATTTATCGATAAGTGTCATCTTTAAACAAATAATTCTTTCTTATTATTTTTTTTTTGGTCTTAACGGGGTGCCAAAAATACTAAAATAACAGTAAAAATAATTATAATTTTTTAACCTACAAAAAATTCGGAATCTTTTAAGTGAGAACGCAGAGTGACATGTTGTTAAAGAGAAAAATAAAGATAGCATGAGAGCCACCGGTTTTTTTTTAATTTATTTATTTATTTTTTTGTTTTTTAGGTTCAACGGGCTGATATAAATACTAAAATAGTAGCTAAAATCATTGCAAATTTTTAACCTACTAAAAACATTGTTAAAAAAATAAAGATGAAATGAGACCCACTGGTTCTTTTCTTTTGGTTCACGGGGTGTTATAAATACTAACATTGCAGCTAAAATCATTATAGATTTTTAACATACCAAAAACATTATTAAAGAGAAAAATAAAGATGGAATGAGATCCACCGGTTCTTTTTCTTTTTGGTTCAATGGGCTATTATAAATTCTAGCATACCACCTAAAATCATTGCAGATTTTTAATCTACCAAAAACATGAACCTTTAAATAGGACCATACAAAGTGACATGATGTTAAAAATATATAAGAAGATGGAATGAGACCCGCGAATTTTTTTATTGCAACGGGTTGTCGAAAATACTAAACTATTAATTTATCGATAAGTATCATCTTTGAACAATAAGTTCTTGCTCATTTCATCTTTTTTTCTTTTAGGCTCAATGCGGTGCCAAAAATACTAAAATACTAGTCAAAATAATTACAAATTTTTAACGTACAAAAAACTCAGAATCTTTTAAGTGAGAACGCAGAGTGACATGTTGTTGAAAAGAAAAATAAAGATGGAATGAGACCCATCGGTTCTTTTTTTTTTTTTTATTCAACGGGCTGTTATAAATACTAAATAGTAGCTAAAATTATTTCAGATTTTAACCCACTAAAAAACATTGTTAAAAAAATGAAGATGAAATGAGACCCACTGTTTATTTTTTCTTTTGGTTCAACGGGCTATTATAAATACTAACATTGCAGCTAAACTCATTGCAGATTTTTAATCTACCAAAAACATTGAACCTTTAATTAGGACGATACAGAGCGACATGATGTTAAAAATACATAAGAAGATGGAATGAGACCCATCGATTTTTATTGTAACGGGTTGTCGAAAATAATAAACTATTAATTTACCAATAATTATCATTTCTGAACAAATAGTTCTTACTAAATCTTTTTTTTTTCTTTTAGGATCAACGGGGTGCCAAAAATATAATAATAACAAACAAAACAATTAAAATGTTTTAACCTACAAAAAATTCGTAATCTTTTAAGTGGGAACACAGAGTGACCTATTGTTAAAGAGAAAAATAAAGATGGAATGAGACCTACTAGTTTTTTTTTTTTTTGGTTCAACGGGCTGTTATAATTACTAAAATAGTAGCTAAAATCATTGGAGATTTTTAGCCTACAAAAAACAAAGAACCTTTAAATACGACGATACAGAGTGACATGATGTTAAAAATATAAAAGAACATGGAATGAGCCGCCAATTTTTTATTGCAACGGGTTGTCGAAAATATTAAACTATTAATTTATCAATAAGTATCATCTTTGAACCAATTCTTGCTTATTCTTCTTTTTTTTTTCTTTCTTTTGGGCTCAACAGGGTGCCAAAATACTATATAGTATTCAAAACAATTATAAATTTAAACCTACAAAAAATTCAGAATTTTTTTTAAGTGAGAACGCCGAGTGACATGTTAAGGAGACCGACCGATTCTTTTTCTTTTTTTGATTCAACAGGTTATTATAATACTAAAATTGCATCTAAAATCATTGCAGATTTTTAATCTACAAAAAACATAGAAGTCGGATGATACAGAGTGATATGATATTAAAAATATAAAAGAAGATGGAATGAGACCCGCAGATTGTTTGTTGCAACGAGTTGTCGAAAATATTAAACTATTAATTTATCGATAAGTATAATCTTTGAACAAATAATTCTTGTTTATTCTTCTATTTCCTTTTCTTTTGGGTTCAAAGGGGTGCCAAAAATATTAAAATAACAACCAAAATCGTTCCAAGTATTTAACCTACCTAACACTAAGAACCTTTTGAGCAAGACGATGCAGAGTGACATGTTATTAAATATTAAAATGTAGATCGAATGAGATCTTCTTTTTTTTTTGGTTTTTGTCTAACGGATTGTCAGAAATATTTAAATAGCAAAGTTTTATTTTTCTATCCAATTTCAATAATTATTATTTAAATTATTTTTTTATTACACGTTTTTATGTCTTATGAATTAAATTGGATTAAATTTTCTAATGTACTTTTTTCCCACGTGTTGTCATTGGCAACACGTCTATCAACCAAAACCATTGCAGTTTTTTAACTTATTAAAGACTTAAAACCTTTTAAACATGAATATGCAAAGTAATATGGTGTTAAACGTGAAAATGAAGATGAATTAAGAGCTGTGTTTTCTTCTTTTTTTTTCTTCTTTTCTTTTTTGGTGTAACGGTGTGTCAAAAATACTAAACTAGCAAATAAAAACATTACAATTTTTTAACCTACCATAGACTCGGAACCTTTTAAGTGAGATAACACGGAGTGAATTGTTGCTAAAGATAAAAATGAAGGTTGAATGAGACCCACCGATTCTTTTTTTTTTTTGTTTGGTTCAACGGGTTGTTATAAATTCTATAGCAGTGAAAACCATTGCAGATTTAACTTACAAAAAACATGGAACATTTAAGCATGACGATACATAGTGACATGATGTTAAGAATATAAATGAAGATGGAATGAGACTCGTGGATTTTTTTTTTTCCAACGTGTTGTCGAAAATACTAAACTATTAACTTATCGATAAGTATCATCTTTGAACAAATAATCTTTGATTAAATAGAAAAATTTTATTTTTAGTTCCATTTTCAATGATTATTAATAAATTATTCTTTTTATATTACGCGTTTTTATGTCTTATGAATTAAATTGGATTGAATTTTCTAATGTATTTTTTCCCAATGTGTTGTTATTTGTAACACGTCTACTAACGAAAACCATTGCATATGTATTATTTTATTAGTAAATAAACAATACATTTACTGTATGTTGTAACCTACTATCTGTTATACACCTTCGCTTTTATTCTTATATGTTGTAATTATATACTCATATTTTACGTCAAAAAACATAGGACAATTTATTACAAATTTGTCCACCGTGTAACACACGGGTAAAACACTAGTGCTAGGAAAAGAAAATTTCAAACATCTTTTTAACGATGATATCATTATCACCCTTCCACGAAGGAAATGCATCGGTCATTGTTGTCATTTTTTGTCGATATCTTGAATCCAAACTTTTCAATACGGAGTATATTTTTTGTCATATACCACTACATTTAATGCTGTAGACTGATTTCGTCTACATAGTCTTGGGTCATGATTAATCTTCTCCAACTTAACTTGCGTACATTATCGGAAATATCATTTCTTTAAATAAATATGGTAAAGTGAATGTTTATAAACGTTTACGTTGGGTTTCAACGTACCAATATTATTTACACTTTACATACCTTGTTTAGTCACCTTTTCATACTTCCGGAAAAAAAGAAGTCACCTTTTCAAAAAGGAAAAAAAAAGTTTTTTTTTTCAAAAAAAAATTGTATAGTCCAAGATTAAAGATGGCTTAATTGCTAGGTAATAACTTCAAAGTCCAGCAAAAACTTCACTGTAAATTTGAGAAACAATTATAAGGAGAAAAAAAAAGAAGAAAATCTAAGAAAAAGATATCTGTTTTGCCAAACCCTAAACAAATGGATTAGTGCATTTCACTTACTCTTTGAAGCATCCCAAGAATCAGCTGATAAGAAATATGAGTCCAGCCAAACATATTTGGGAGAGGGTTCCAATGTCGGCTCTCTCAACTTCCCAAGAGTTCCATTCATGGCTAATAAAATTATCCAGCATTATTTTCCCGCCAAATTACAATCCCTTTTACCCTTTCGTCTGCCCCTTCCCCTCTATATATATATATATAGCAACATTCACTCTGCAAGATGTTTTGGACGAAATATCTGAAGTTTTATCTGGAAGAAATGGCATTCTGGGGTCTGATTCTTTTCAAACCTTTTTTGATACTATAGCTTCTTATCTTTTTTAATTTACTTTTCGATTTCGTTAATATTTTGATGAACAAGAAACTAACCATTGTTCATTCTGTCATGCGTTTTTTGTTTCTGTTTATTGAAGGGGCAAAAGTGCCTGCACGCGGAACTTACACTCTTCAGTTGGATGATGATCACCAAAGGCTTTGTATAACCCAGGTTAATTAGTTCCCTTCACACATTTGTTCTAGTATTTTTCTTTTTCTCTCTCTTTTTTTTTTTTCTTTTTATGGAATGGAAAGAGACACCCTTTGCATGAAGAAATTGATTTTTATTATTTTTTTAATTGAGGAAAGAGGAAAACTAAACAATAATTTAGATTTGTACGGAGGAAAATATTGATCTTGATGGCCATGCCTCAGGGGCTTAAAGTACTGTATAGGGCTTGTAATTGCCGGCTTGTCAATCTCTGACTGCCAAAGGCCGAGATCTTTTTCAAACTTGCTCATTGTTTCATCCTTGGTACCAACTATAACTACATTTTTGCGACTTTGTTGTTTGTGGCATTCTATTGGCTTTCAAACTCAGTTCTGCATGATGATTTTATGTATACCTCCAAAATATGTGTGACATAATATTTGTTGGTTTGAATGATGAAGAATTAAAAATTTTTTGCAGGCAACGGTGGGAGATAATCATGGTCATTATTCGGCAACTGGCTTGTCGAAACTTCAATGTTCAGCAGGGAGTAAACCACCAGTGTACATATGTGCATTGTCAAAGGACAAACCTTCCCGTTCGCTAAGACTTGAATTCAAAAAGTCCGATGAAGCTGTTTTCTCAGCATCAGGTTTTTTTGGATTTCACCTATCTGGTTACTATGTCTCCACGGATCATGCTACCAACAAGGATAAGACCACAAGTACTAATGACCTCAAAATGTATCCTTTTTCATAAAAAATAGAAGTCTATATATGCTCCTATGCTCTGCTATATCTGAGACTAGCACCTAATTTTAGAAGATGAAATGTTGTGTTAAACTATCAATGGTGCCAGCTATGTGCATGATAGAAATATTCTCGTTTGTCTCATCTCCATTTTCACACTCTTCATTCTTAAGTTATCTAGTCGTAGTATCTAACCTCCATATCTGGTTCTAAAATGTGAAGAAAAAATCTACAATATGAACAACAACCGAGATATTGTAGACTTGTAGTACTTCAGCAAAGAGCAAGTTCTGATTTTTTTGAGAAAGTGTTTGACTTATTGTAAGCTAAATGTGTGTTGTTAAAGCTTCTTTGTCTCCAATGTGTTTTGTTTCATTTTTAGGATTACCTTTGTTCTCTTCTTTAGTTGGTTAATTTTCTGTGTAAGTTCATCTTTTAGACTTCCTTTACAATCAAACCTCTATAAGTGATTGCTCTAATAAGGAAGATAAGGTTGTGGCAGAAAACGCAAAAGTGAATAATTTGATGGCAAGAGAAAATGCTCACAACTCTGGCAGCATATCTGGAGCTGATGGAAACTTATCCGAAAGTGGTGGCCAGGTGGTAAAGAAAGATATGCATCAACATGGTATGTCAAGCTACAATTAAAGATTTGTTGAAATGTTGAGTAATTTGTTTCAGAGTACACCAATCTCTCAACACTTTGTTCGCTTTTTCTTTAGATTATGACTTTTCTTCCATCTTAAAAGTTGGTGTACATGTATCTTATACTAAGTTTAATTGGCACAGGCAATGAGAACATGGCGAAGGTGCAACAAGATGCTATCTCTGATTTGAACAAAGAATTGGAAGAAAAGGAGGGACAGATAAGATCGGCAGAAAAAGTGGATGCAGGCAACACCGCTTGTATAGCAGAAGGGAATGGACACAGTTTCCTCAGTAATGATCAGTTGGTAAAGTCTGAAGTGCATCAAGATGGTATGTTGTGCTACAATTAGCTATTCTTTCAATTGTCCAATATTTTTTAGTGTACACAATCCTTTGAGTTTTCAATCAATCCTTGGGTTTTTATCTTTTATATTCGAAGTCATTAGATCATCTATCTCAGTTCCTTTTTTACATATTTAATAATAAGTTTCATATGCACAGCTTATGAGAAAATGAAAGAGGAGCAAAACAATGTGGTATATGTTTATGACACTGATATGGAAGCGGATGCTGGCGAGGATTATGTCGTGTGCATAAGAGAGCATTCAACAGCTGCAAAAAAACTGGAGGCAAAATTGGGAAACGATACCAACTGTGTTATGCTAGCGCCAAACACAGCATCGAACGGTGCTATGACACTTGACGAAGTATCAGAAGAGAGCTTTGATGCAATAAGGTGTGTGTTCTTGAACTTGCTTATTATTCTCATACGCAGCTCAGTATGTTTGACATGTTTATCAATTTCTATCTTTTTATTAATTATGCCTACTAGTTAGTTCACATAAGACGAGTTCTACATAGTTCGTCGAATCTATAACAAACATTTGGCCAAAATGCCTATTGTCATTTCACCGAAAATTGTTGCCAGGCCATATATTTGCATCATTGTTGTACCTACAGAGTAGTTTTATCATACACTAGGTTATATTCAAAAATGTCATTTTGTCAATCAACTGGCCTCCAAGCTGAAATTTACAAAATATTTTAGGTTAGGCATGTGTGATGCTCTTTTGGTCCTCTCTACAGATTATTTAAACTAAAACCAATACTTTCTAATGGGGTATATGATGTGTAATTGCATCTCAGAGAGTCCAACAAGCAAAGTGAAATTTTGCTCTCTTCAAGTACGGGGCACATGGATGAACCCAAAGAACAAGAAATGAAAGCTAGTGATCATTTTACCAGAGAGGATGCTTCTATTTGCAATACAAGTGCCATCTCCATTGAAGTTGTTGAAATCGAGAAATGCAATCTTAACCTTAAGAGTGAAGCTATGGTTCAAGCCCCAAATTGGTAAGAAATATCTTCCACTATCCCCAGTGCGTAAAGTTTTGTCTGCTTTTTATCCTGCTAAGTATTGATATTGAACAATATGAAGCATTTTGTCGAAATGGTACTCCTAATCATATTAATATCATATTACAATTATAACCTATCCTTCCAGTGAATCGTCTTTAACTATAGTTTACTATTCCCCTGCAATGCCAATTTCTGCTGCCTCCTTCTTACTTGGTGGGCAAAAAAACATGGAGTGAGTGACTTGTTCCATATAATGGATGAGATTAAAAAACAGAAAGATCATTAAAAAATTTATGTTTTATCACCAAGAATTTTCCAAGATTGAACTTGTAAGAAACTCACCTCAAATGTCCAAGAGCCCTGCATCTTATGCCACCTAATCCATCTTGCTTTTGATTGCTTTCTCATTAATTATATTTCTTACATTTTGATTTTTGCTCCATTTATCCAGTCTTTTATTCCCAATGTTCTCTATTCTCTTCATGAATCCTTGTATCCCCAAAAATTTCTGTTGTACTAATACACTCTAATCTAATTTCTGGTGTGGAAAGTTCTAAGGATGCTGGTGAAGCTGTGCGATCAAACCATGATTTAGGCGATGCTAGTCATTCAGAAGTTGAAGAGCAGAAAACTTTAAGTGACAAGTAACCCCTTTATTTCTCTTTGTGTCATTTTCTTTTTTTTATTCTGGCAGCTAAACTTTTTTGGTTATAAAAATAGATTTTCTTTCAATGTAGCAGGATTGATCCTCTTCATGTTGAAGCAAACGGTGAAAATTCTCCCAAAGAAGACAAGGTTGTGCAAGATGTTGAAGGAAATGAAAAAATATCAAACATCCAGCCCCCAGAAGTTCAAGATCGCAAGCGTATTGCTGAATTGTAAGTATTTTGATCATTTTCTGGATTACGTAAGCTCAAAACTGTGCACGGTAGAGAAATTTATAATATGTTAACACTGAGGTAAGAGAAAAATAATCATAAATTACCATATCCAAAGGAACCTAGAATTAATTTCCTTGGTTTTGTATGTGCTCAAGCTGATTTGAGCTGTGAGAAAGTGTTCCATTTCTCAGGTGAGTTACCAATAGAAAAAAGTGATACTGTTTCACATTTGTGTGTCGATGATGGCTTTTTAAATTCTGAGGTTTGTTCACAGCATTTCTGATTAACTTCGGGAACCTGAAGATGCAGAATAGTGACTTGAATTTTATTGGATGAATGCAGGGTTGAGGAAGAAGATACACTGAAGAAAAAGCCAAAGACTGAAGCCAAAGATCTTAATGATGCTATATCTTGTGGAACTAGGATCGTATCAAATGGAATTCTAATAGAAACCCTGGCTGTAGGTGAAGCAAATGGAAAGAAAGCTGCTCCAGGAAGAAGGGTACGCACTAATAATAAGCTCCCAACCTTTTCACGTTATATGTGAATCATCCCTTCAAATTCTAATGTAGTTGCATTACAACAATTGTTCAGGTAAAAGTAATTTACACTGGTAGGTTAAAGGATACTGGAACTCTACTTTATACAAATGTTGGTGGTCGTCCCTTCAAATTCCGTCTTGGTATGAAGCTCTACTCTCTCTTTATCTGAATCTCCCCATTTGGCAGATCTCGACATTCTCATCATCTGTACCTTATTTTCTATTCTCTTTTTGGAATCAGGTAGCAAAACGGTACTCAAGGGGTGGAACGTTGGAATTGATGGTAATCAATCTAATGTTCATTTTCACATTGTTTCGCTGTTTCCATCCAGTCAATGTGCATCTTTTATTCGTCGATGCTCTATGTATTAATATTAAATAACAAAAAGTCTTGTTGATCTTCTTAGGAATGTGCATTGGAGAAAGGAGAAGGCTTCTCATTCCACCAGAACTAGCGTAAATAATTTCTCTACCGTCCTATGCTAGACCGCTTGCATTCATTTACATCCTAATCATCTTTATAGCTTTAGACTCACCCTTTCATTGTTCGTAATTGATGCAGTTTCGGAGAAAAAGACAAAGATGGCATTCCGCCTAACTCATGGCTGATTTTTGACATTGAATTGGTTGATGTGAAGATTGGGAAGAAAAAAAGTGGCTTAAGGAAAATTTCTGTTTGAATGATAGTATAAAGGCGGGTGACTTGATGAAGCGATAATCCAAGGGCAGAGTTTTGTATTTCTTATTTGACGTTCACCTGTCTTAGTACCTGATTCGAAGGCGTAGAGGCTTTGTCATTTATTTCATTATTGCAATTTCACCTGTCGAATTGTTGAAATTTGTTGTTTTGAACTGGAATTGCTGTTGGACAACCGCATTTTGGAGAAATCCTTTTCTTGTTGCCTCCATTTTTTTCCCACTTACATGTGGTAAGTATTGCATGATCATTTTTTATGGTTTTATTTTGTTTTCTCCACTTCATTACATGTTGCAAGTATTGCATGATTATTCTGATTATTCTTATTATTCTTCTCCTCTGTCTGAGTTATGGTATTTGGCGACTGATTTTGATGGGAAGAATGGTGCTTTAGGTGGCACTATATTTGAATGGTACTCTTTCGGATCTCAAATGATTGTTTATTTTATATTTTCATTTCCGTTTAATGTGCTAAAAATAAGAATTTAAACTAAAAAGAGGAGATTTTACGTTTTATGTGCTAAAAATAAGAATTCAAACTAAAAAAGGAGATGGAAAATTTTACATAGTTTTGCTTAGTTTACTGCTGTAGTAAGTTATACCGGAAACTAAAAAGTGATTTTGGTTTCAGATGTATACAGAATTCCACTTATCCACGCAGCTGGCACTGCATTCCGTAGGGCCTAATGGTACGAAACTTTTTTGGGGCAATAAAAAAATCCTTGTTCTTGTAAGAAATTAAGATGTCATGCATGTTTGTGAGAATTTTAAAATGGATCGGCCTAGCTTGATTTTGTCAAGTTACAAATTAAAGAGGGCGAAACGCTTAATATCATAATACACGTTCATTACTAATATTTTATTCCAATTAAATCATGCTCTAAATAGATTATTTATATTGTTTACCTAGGCTTATTTTATGGCCTAGCTTGATGTTTTTGGTGTTGAAAACATGGAAGATTTTGATTAAGAACATAATAAAAGATTATTTTTTAAAAAATATATAAAAAATCATTATATTATTTTATTAGAAATTGTCTAGCAGCCATTGATAAGGAAGAAATACACTTGAAATAATAACAGAACTTATAATAAAGCATATTACTGTTATAGTGCTTCTCGTGAATAAACCTATTTATATAAGACAATAATGGATGATATATCATGTGTCACATAATCAACCTAATAAAAACATATCTCTAATCATCTATTAAAATTCCTAAATCATAAATGTATCAAATAGATAATGAGTGAAACTACGAATGTACAGGATAATGCGTGAAACTACGAATGTTGCAGCAACAAATTTGAAGATACTAAGAATACTGTAAGAAAAAACATACTCTCTCTATAGATCCCAATCTACTAAACGAACAATACCTCTCATTATATTATGCTACTAAATCACACAACAAAGTTTGGAGAATGTCACTAATTAAACGATGTAAATAACTATAAACAAAGAATAAACAAATCAATTTCTCCATACCTTGGAGGAAGATGGGGAAAAGAGATTTTTTTTATTTTATTTTTTTGAGAGAAGCGGTTAGGGTGAGGAGAATTAAGAGATGATGTCGTTGTTTTTTGCTGGTTGTTTTTCCTAAAAAAGATTAGGATTATTTATTGTTTGCAATTTTTGTACAAGTTTATATGGTTGTCTAATATTAAAAAGAGACGATATAACTGCAAAATACATTTTGTAATGGAACGTATATTACTAAGAAAAGAGCAACTGATTCTTTATTCATGATAAATCGAAAGAACCCAGTATTCAATAAAATGTCATATCTTGTTGGATTTCTTTTTTTCTCTTGTTGGCTTTGTTCAAGTATTGTAATGAATTGAGGACAGCATTTTCCGTTATGAATGAATCAACCTTTATATAATAGACAAAAATTATTTAAAATTGTGGCAACTTTACAATTGCATTTTATCGCCTCGATCAATGATGGATCAAGAAATAATTCTGCTTAAACAATTTATAACAACGCGATCAAATTTAAAATAAAATGACATTGCACTACAACAAAGTTGGCTTATTAATGCTCTTAACTTGGGACACTTTTCTTCAAAAGTGTCTCATTACAAGGTAATAATAGGACATTAATTCTTTGAAAAGTGTATTATCAAAATTTTTTTGAAGTGTTCTAGATTAATAAAACTCAATTAATAAGTGAACAATGAAGTTTTGTGTCCCAATAACTTACTCTAATTGGGCACCTTAAAGTGTGACAAAGTACATGATACGTATAATACTGTACTGACATGGCATAATTCGTCTTCTTAGTTCCTTAATACTGTAATTCTTTTTTCTTATTCCACATTATAAATAATTATTAGATACGTTCAGCTTCAAATGAAATAAATTTAGGGCCGTTTTGATAAAACTTAATTTGGGTGTGAAGTCTGAAATCTGAAGACTGAATCTTAAGTACTGAATTGATTAATTTTGTCATGTTTGATAACAATCAAAATCTAAACACTGAATAAAATGTCTGAAATCTGAAGTCTGAACAGTGAAATTTAAAGTATCTCGACTTATAATTTTATCTAAAAAAATAATTGATGTATATATGAAGCTCTGATAATAAAAATAATAATAATATTATTAAATAATGTAATAAAAATATTTAAATTTTATTATGTTATTATTTTTTCAGTTAATAATAATGTCATATTTTATCATTGTCAAAAAAAATTCATATTTTATGGTAAAGATATATTGGTCATGGAATTTAATGGATTTTAATTTTTATATAAACATAAATATTTATTAAATAAAAAATAATTTACATAAATTTTAATTTAGAACTAGACATCATGATTAATAAAAATATTTCAAGATAAAACATTAAAAGTATAAACATAAAAATAAAAAAAATAGAAAAAAAAATCGTCTCAAGAATTCAGTTCAGACATAAGTGATAGGCATATCACTTATTTTTAGGCTCACATTTGTACTAACATTTCAGACCCAATTAATTTATTAAGATATCCTACTTTGAGTTATCAAACACACTTAAAGTTTAAGTCCTTATAAATTAAGTTCTTAAGCAATTAAGTTGTTATGATATTGTGTTATCAAACAGTGCTAATCAATTAAGTACTTAATTAATAAGTTTAAGTGCTTAATTGGTTTATCAAACAGGGCCTTACTTTTATTTTTAAGGGAAAAAAGAAACCCAATGAGAATAGACTAGACCATCTCTGATTTCTTCCCAGTATCAAAACTCCGACGGTTAGGGCCCCCTGAATTGAGACTCTTCCGATCGAATTCCGGCAAATTTTTCATGCGATTGAGATACTGGATACTGATTATAGTTGATTCCATCTAGGTTTTAATCGGATTAATTTAGCCTTCTCGGCAAAATATTTTGATTTCTATTTCACGCCATGGAATCGAAAATGAATCGCTGCTCCAAGTGGCACATCTCATCAACTCCAGCGGTAAAATGAATCGCGCGGAAGGTACGAGTTCCGGGAGACGCTTAGACTGCGGCTTCGCTATTGTCAAACCAACAGTTGTTTCCGGTATATCCAAGTTAGTAGCTTGCTATCTAGATTTTGCTTGAAGAAATTGATGGTTATTGCTAATTTAAATGCTTACCAAAGATGATCTTTCTTGGTCTCGCGCTAGTTCTCTTTATGCGTAGCAAAAAATCTCAATGGCTTAGGTAGGAAGGAATCACACAGTAGAGTTAATTGCATGTGGTGATTCCTTTGCTTCTGGTTTTAACATACATGGGCAGCTGGATACAGGTTATTGCAAATATGGTGCTTCGTTAAATTAATGTGCATAAATGGTCTTGTTGAGATTTTGAACTGTTACTAGGAGGTCCAGTGGACAAGTAAATTTTGATGTGTTTTTGTTTGAATGATATCCCTTTTATGATCGTTAATGATTGCTCATTGAATTAGCGGATGCTGCAGTGATTCCGTGCTCTGTAAATTGTTTAAGAGTAGGGACATGATCCGCAGCGATTATGTGTTGAATAAATTAAAAACATTTAAGAGCAGTGACATCATCCTCGAGAGATGCAGCCTAGACAGCAACAACCACAGTGACAGTGGAGTTGAAGAAGCTCCAAGGAACATCCCAGGCTGCGTGTAAGGGTCGCTGAGGGCTACATTTAAGCTTATGCGCTTTCTACATTCCTTCCCTATGAGTTTTAGCATATGAGTTTTTGAAAGTTTGTTATTCTAATTCGCAAAGCAAGTCATTTTTTCTCATCAATTGTTTGTTACATTTTCCCAGGAATCTTCATTAAATGCCTACTTTTACTTTAGGGTGTACTGTTGTTTTGTTTAGTATCTTTGGTTAACTGATGTTCTGTTGCACTCGTAATCATCTTGGCATAGATGTTATAGCTTCTTAAAATTATAGCTTAGTTTTTTGTTTTCGAATATTTGTTTATCTTGTGTTTAATGTTAATTCCTACTTTGCCAATGTAAAATACTAGAACATTATAAGCATACAGCTCTATTAAAAAGAAACTTCTTGCTTAGTTATTATTAGTTTCAGTTGTAGAATATGGATTTAATAGCTTGCTTCACATTCTTTGTAATCTGTTTCGTTGTAGGGATTCAGACGTATTAAAGGAAGCATATATTCAATCAGGCATTATGCAGCACTTCTTAGTTCCATCAGCGATGATATTAGTGAATGCAAAGTGTGTAAGTTTTAGTATTGCCTTTCTCCAATTTATTTTAGCTCCGCTATGCATCTTAAAATATTCTCTTTGTCCAGAAATCCAGGAACAAGTCCCCAGAATTGCACACGAGAGCTAGAGTTCAAGGAGACATAAATCTTGTAAGTTTCCGATCCTGATCACTTGTGTGAATTATATTCAAGTCCCTGTTGTATGGGTAAAGCAAGTTCAAATCTTTCTTGTTCGTTGAAGGTATTGAAGGGCTTTAGAACTAAGGCTGAATTTAGAACTCTGACTGCTCAAACGGCGGTTGTTTGTGCTGGCTCTACTAAGG